TAAGAAATTGTAATATGAATTACTATGTTTGGTTTGAAGGAAAAGGTAAAGCCATAAGGGTGTCAATGGACCAGTTTTGGATTGGACGCCGTCCAGTCCAAAATCAATTTGGACGGATTGGATGGACCAACAAGACATATTGGATTGGACCAATTCAGTTCAAAATATTTATTAGATTGGACTGGACCTGGTCCGTCCATAACAAATTTATATTGGATTGGGTTGGATTAAACCAATATCTGGTCCATTGATATAAGATAAGAATATATATGTCAATGGACCAGGTTTGTGTTGAAACCAATCTAAATCAAAATGAATTTGAACAGATTGGACAGTCCAAATTGATCCAAAACATTCATTGTATTGGATTGGACCTGTTCCATTTGTAATAGACTCACATTGGACTGGATCAGATTGGACAAAATCCAGTCCAATTGACATCCCTAAGAAAAGGTAGAGAAAGGAAGGAAAAGACAAGAAAAACAATATAAGGTTTGTAAAGGTTTTTTTACCTCTCTTCCTCTCCCTACATTTTCCTTCAAACCAAACATATCCTTAGAGTCAGCTCTCAGCTGAGTCATTATTTTATACATGACCAAGTCAAATAAAAAATATTGGTTTTCCAACCATGTTTTAGAGAACCCTAATGAAGATTCTCTCCACGTAGCAATATGATTTAGGCCTCCTATCCTTTATTAATTTATAGAACAGAATTCATTTTGGAAGCCCTATTCACATCTCCAAAATAAGTGATTTTATGTGGGAATAAGCTTTTTAAACATATTGTAAAATTTTCCTTACTATAATGAAGGCTTCTTTATTTTGAAAAAAAAAAAAAACAAAATACAAGGCAGGTTAATCTGCTCATCTGAGTCCAGGGAGGCAACTCAAATGACAATCCAAACGGTCCTCAATCAACCACATCTTGAATGAGGACAACCCTAATTGACCCAATTACAAAACCATCTCTTGTTGAGATTGTAGTTTTTCTTTTCCTTTCTTATTTTATATTTTGAGAGGAAAGAAGATTTTTATTAGAAAAAGAAGAGGCTAAGGAATTTCCACCCTTGTGTATCTGCAACCACTAGCATCTTCCCTGATTAGGGACAAACAGTTAGGAAAATCCAAAAGAAACAACAAGAACCCGTGCTCCTGTTTGCAACCTCATGCAACTTAGACCAAAACAAAAATAAAATCCTTTGTGTGGAGGGCTCTTCAAAATGGCCTTTCAGTTAAAGAATTACTAACCAAAAGAATTTCTGCAATCTCCAATACTTGTCCATTGTGTCTAGAGAAAGCTGAATCGATTGAACATGCCCTTTCCTATTCTCAATCTGGTTTGCATCGAGCCTTGACCTCAGAATGGATGGGAGTAACCTCAGAAATCTTCCTAGTGGCAATATGATCTAAGCCTCTATGACTCTATCCTCTATTTATGGGACAAATGTTAGTCTGTCATGACAAATCATTTTTAGATTAAAAAAAATGAAACCTTTCATGACAGATCATTTTCTGGACTAGGGACATTAACTGAACAAATAGTGATCCAAAAGGCCATTATCAATCTGATGGATGGTGCAGATCAGCCACTGATGAGTGAGATGGAGGACAACCCCAATTGACCCAATTAGGGAACACCAATTGCAGGGTCTGTGTAGAATTTTATGAACCAGCCAATCAACTTGGTGTAGAAGATGGAGCAGCCGAGACAAGATAGACCTAGCTCTAATGCTGGGGCTGAGTCTAGGCATGACAGAGAAGCCATGTGGGCAACATTCTTCTGTTGTTAGTAGTTGATGGAACACTACTAATAAGTAATAACCCCCCTATTTTCTACTACCACAAAATGCACCATCACCCCATGTCATTATACGTCACCACCGTACAAATCTACACATGGGATGTCTACACTTGAAATCAAATTTGAGTTGTTCCCCCGCACCACTTTCCTATCCTATTAAAGCAGCAATAAGAATCAATCTCTGCCAACAGCCAAGTTTGAGTCTTTGTGATGTTGATTAAATTGGGCCAAAACCTCTTATGGACTAGCAAGGCCCAATTGTAATAAGCTTTAGAAACTTAGATGGGCTCAACCCAATCCAGCCCAATGCTACCCCATGCAAGCAGGGCCCAGATGATTTTTTTGGTTTATTTACTAAAATATCTCCTATAATTTATTCATGAATTGTACTAAAACCTACCTATTATAGTTTGCATTTTACTAAAACACCGACTTTTCATTAGATGACAGTGGAAATGACAGTTTTGACCCTAATGTTCATTTGTATGAATTAAATAAAAAATTAAAATGAAAATATCATTTTCCCCCCTAAGACGCGAACAACCACTCCATTTGGCTCTATTTGGTCATTTTTGTCTTCTGTAAGAAGAAGTGTTGGTGGTACTTTTGAAATAAATAATCATGGGCCCGTGCTTTTGAACATCTTCCACTCAGTTTAGGTGATAATGTTACTATTTTCATATGGGAAAACAAACGCGTCTTAATTAATGAAAGTTTGATTAAGTAAATAGGTTACAAACTATAGGAGTGTTTTGATAAAATGAAAACTATAAAGTATGTTTAAATAAATCTGGAAAACTATAGGAGCATGGGTTTAGAGTTCAAAGTGAAATGATGAGATTTCAGGCTGGCAAGCATGAAAATGCAGCTTTGAGTATGAAAGAGATCACTTCGTGAAAGAAAAATGCCAAAGGTTAGGTTCATTTGTAGCCTTCCCATATCAAGGCACCCGGATAGCCGGGATCCATTGACCTATGAATAGTATTATGCCAAACCTTTGCTATTTGGCATAGAAACCATATAACCCTAGAGAGAAGAATGGCAACAAATCTGCTACAACCATGGTTGCAGGACTTTCTTGCAACCCCCAATCAAACATGAACATGCTAGTCGTTTGTTAGAATTCACGATATCGCATTATTTATGTTTTTTATTTCTAATACCGGTGATCCATATTTAATCCATTTGGGGTTTCCTACTCACTTTTCCTATCCACTCTTTATTCGTTATGAATTGGAGCCACACATCTCTATTATGAATTAAAAGATGTGTGACTGTAATTCACGATGGATAGAGAGTGGGTAGGAAAAGTGAATAGGAAATCCGGGCTCTATTTAATCGGGGTTGCAAGGAAGTGTTGTGACCATGGTTGCAGCATATGTGTATTCAAAATGAACTTAATTTACATGTTACATGGAGTCCATGTGCCAATACAGATGGAATTGACTTATGCATGTGCACCAAATGTGGCCTTCAAGAGACATTGAGGAAATCAAATCATTTCATTTGTTTATTTTTTTTTTAATTTTTAAGGGCATTATCATAAACTGTGAAGGAGTCAAACACAACCCAGTCTTTATGTCATTGTATTTATATATCAACTTTCTTTTTAATATAATTATCAGTTTGTCGGTCTAAAGGCTTCAAATAAAAAAGAAAGGAAAAGAAAGGAAAGAAAAGAAAAAGAAAAAAGAAGAGGATGAAATGATTTGCTTCTAGTACTTAGTGCCACCTAAGAGTGAGTTTCCCCCTCCCCCCTCCTTTACATGTGAACAAATTCCACCTAAGAGTAGAACAAAGATGACCTGTCCTTAGATTAAGTCATATTATATATTTTTCATATTATTGATGATTATCTGTTTAAAATATTAAAAAAATGAAAAAAAAATAATATGCATATAGTAATCTCCAATCCATCTCCTGCTCTTGATTTGATGAGCCCAATCCTCTATAACTTCTTTAATTAGATTATCTAGTAGAGCTAGACAGCTAGTTACAAACTTACAATGCACTTCTGAAAACCCTAACTGATCACAAGTCAATTTCCTAGGTGGGTTCTATTCTATTCATTTTTGTGGAGAATCTCTTTTTAAAACAATTTGGGAAAACCGTCCCACATTGGGTTGATTACTGTAGCTAGCCCAATGTTTTAACAACCGGCTCGGAAACTGAACCGGTTTTACCTCCAGATTTTTATGTCAGTGGTTCGATAATCTGATCCAAATGGATCAATCCATGACATTATCAAATATTTAAAAAATAAAAAATAATTAGAAAAAATCGACCCAAAAATCATTGTTCGGATAGGTAACCGGTTCAATGGTTTTTTTCTTAGGAATATCCAAGCCAGGTGCTAAACGGAGCTGGATAGGTAACCGGTTCCCAGGTTCAGTGGTTTGACCGCCCGGGCTAACGAAGGTTTTAAAACCATACTCTCAAATATTTTATTATTTAATTATTTTATATACTGAAAATAAAATAAAACAACTCTTTCGATTCTGATGTATGGGGTTTTAAACTGTTAATCTTCCACGTGGCGACCTGTCTTCAGGCACCAAGGGATCAACTGAATTCCACCCGTAAATAGTTAACACATGGAAGCTCCACAGGGTCCCTTGTAAATTGGGCAGAAGAATAGAATCCTCCACGTGGCAAAACAAAGGTATGGTGAACTAGTGACACACCCTAATCGACCCGACCAGGGAAGCAGTTGCTACTTGCATTGGGGTTGATGAGGAGCGTGTGATGGAACACTACTCTACTGGACTACCACTAGCTGCTGAGCTACCATGCCATCACCCCTCATGTCATCATGCGTCACCATCAACCACATCTACACGTGGGATGTCGACGCCAGATCATTATAGAGCGTTGCACCGTAACCTACCAACACATGATCCAAAGCCCAGTTTGGTCCATTCCTTGTCAGCGTTCACAAAATGGAATTACTCTCCCAGCCCACCAACCCAGCCCATTTCCTTCTAGATATCTATTTTCTGATTCATGAGAGCAACCCACCAAAGAACAAACCTTGAATCTTCTCCTCCTTTCTTCCTTCAATCCTTCTCTCTCTCATGCCCCTAAACCGTCTATGAGAAATATCAGACAGATCCAAGGGTTCATGTTGCACTGATTATTCCTGGACTGATCAAGATTTCAAGATTAATAGGCCCAACTGACACCACATATACTAGAAAAATAAAATAAATCATAATCTGAATTCCGATCGAAGGGCTCAGCTAACCTCTGTTCTTCTTTCATAGTTGAGGCAAAATCCAGAGGAAAAAAACAAGTGAAGATGCAACAAAAAAGGGAAAAATAAAATGAAATTAAGAAAGAAGAAAAGAAAAACAATGATGAACAGTTTACAAGGAGAGGAAAAAGAAGTGAGGCTGGTGAGGTTGGAGAGGAATCAGCCTCCAAATTTGTTGTTTTCTTTCTCCAAGCCTTCAAAGAAGTTGGCAAGAAGCTTCATGGCGTTCACCTGGCATTGCAGAGACAGAATGTAGCAAGCTGTTTCTTCAAACAGCTTGTCAACCCCAAGTGACTCACCGCCGGGGACGATCTTCTGTAGGGTGGTGATCCTCCTCTCTATTCCAATTTTGTCTTCGTCGCATTCTCCACACGCATTCTTCTGGAGCTTGGACTTGGTGCTGCTGCTCCTCTTCTTTCTCCCCAGCCTACGCCGTCTCCGGTAGGGAACATTGGTGGTGGTGGTGGTGGTGGAGGACTGACTGTGGAGCGTGTGACCCAACTGGGTTTCTTCTGCTTCTTCAATGCTTCTCATCTTCTCTCTTCTTGCTAGTGTCCCTTGGGTTGTTCCATGGCTTTGAGCAGTCTCTAGCTCCATGAATGTAATTGGAAGATGGGAGAGAGGAGAGAAGAGAGATGGGAGATGAAAGACTTTTAAGAGAGAGGAGAGGAGGAGGGGGGGACTGTGGAAGGGGGTTAAATAATTGTTGAGTTCTGGAAATGTCAATGCCAACGAAGCTGGGCCCACCAGGTTTTGGCTTCCCAATCACTGTTTTTGGATCACCTGTGACATGCATGATGCGGTTGCTCAGTGTGAGAGTTTTTAGTTTGGCTTGGTTTTTAGTTATACACAACAGTGGCTTGGCTTGGCTTGGTCTGGCCTGGTTTTGGATTTTGGGTTTTTTTTTATTTTTTATATAATTTCATCACTTTTGCTTCTTTCCTAGAAGAAGGCAGCACTTGCTTTGGTTTTGGACTTTTGGGTCCACTCTAGAAAGGCCAGTACAGAAATGGGTCAAGCTCCCCCATCCAACCTAATTTGGGCTGGACTGGTCAATAATATTATTGTAGAATTGAACTCAGCTTCTCTCTCTCTCTAAAAATTGTCCAGCTAAGATCTATGAGTCACACAAGCCAACATATTAAAGTTGTACTACCCAAATGTAAGCATAAAAGTGAAGGATTTGGATTGTATTTGGATAAAGCTTTAGGGTTTATGCTTTTAAAGTTCAAAAGTAAGAAGGTCCAATTTTAGGCTTTATGCTTTGGGACTCAAGTATTTTGGGTCCAAGCATTATTCTTATCAAATGCTCAAATCACTTTTTTTTTGGCACAATTTTGTGATTTTTCACAGCCCAAAGGTTATAAGCAAAGTTTATCCAAACATTGCCTTAATTTATGAATATTTATTATGCTATTGATTTTTTTATTTTATTTTTTCCTTTAATTAAAAAATTAACTAATAACAGACTCATTTTATGTTTTTTTTTCTGGAAAAATATTTTGATTGTAATCTTTTTACATGCAATATTTTAAAACCTCATGTAAAACTTCTGTCATTCATGCATCCCCTAAACACAAGCAAATGACAGAATTGGTTGAGCCAGGTTGCTACAGGACTCGGACAAAGCCTAAATCGATCTAGAGAGGTTTCATAGATGTCAAGCCCAACTTATGTTTAAAACTATTCCGGTCCAACCCACCCTGCTTAAAGGGTCAATTTGGATTATTAATTAAGCCAATGAAATCATGATTTAGTAAACAAAAAAAAAATAGACTAATTTATTCAAGTGTAAATTGACCTTCTACTAATTTCAAATCCTGATTTTTTTCAACCATCCCATAAAAAACCGACCTGGAATCGAAACTGCTTTGGCCATTCGGTCTAAATGAATGATATATTACAATTTAAAAAATAAAAAATTAATTAAAATAAAAAACAGCCAAAACCATTATTTGGGTCGAATGCATTGATAGTTCGACTGTTCGAGTTATTAGGTTGCTGATCAAATCAACAGTTTTGACAAGATTCTAATTCAGAGATGAAGTGGAACCAGTTGACTGAACAATTTTCGGGTCAAACAGTCTGACCATCCGGGTCAATGATGGCTCAAAAACCATGCATGGATCATATTGGTCAGACCGGGGATGAGCTAGACCAGTGTTGTGAAATTTGGACCGGACAAGTGGAGTGGATGGACCACGAGGAGCCGATCCAAGAAAGCGAAGCCAAGGCTTGAGTGTGGGGTGGGGGGGAGGAAAGGCTCAAAGGACTTTTGGCAAAGCAAAAGGAAATGGGCCACACTAAAACCAACGGAAAGCACATGCGCTCACATGATTTTCTCGAATCCACCACACCCCATGTGCATCCCTCCTCCACCACCTGCCCTGATCTTCATCACCCACCAAAGCATGCACGCCACGTGTAGCATTTCATGGGGGCCCACCTTGAGCCCCACAACGCAACCCCCCCCCAGTTCCACTGTAGTCGTCGCAGCTTCAAGTCGGAGTGGAACTGTTGGTGGACCGGTGGTGGTGGTGGTGTTCCCGAGGAGGGAGCCAGTCGGCGATTTACTCCCGCGTCGGTTGGCAGCCACTCGTTGGGATCGGGATCGAGTAGAAGATTTTGTTGGGCGTTTGGGGCTCCATGTGATCACAAATACAATTCAAAAACTCGTGGATCTCCTCTCCATTTTTTTTTTTATTTAGTCATGTCGCAATTATTTTAGAATAATAAATATCAGAAATCCTGTTTTTTTGTTTTTGTACAACTGGGAAATTAAGAGTTAATTTTTAGAATTAATTAATTATTATGGGAAGGTCCCCGCCAAAATAAGTTGGATTTGATTTGAGGACATTGCAGTACAGCCAGGGCAGTGTCCTACGTTGTTTCGTACCAGTACTGATAAAGCCTACCCCTTGCTCCAATGTGAGTGGGGCTCATTATAGACGGTATTAACCATAGAGTACATGGGTTGGTTAGGGTTGGCCCATGGGTTGGTTACATGGGTCAATGGTTCAAACTGTCTAGGTGAATTGGTCTTTGATAAAAAGTCAACAGTTTTTTTATGAAAAATATGGCGGGGTTGGTAAGTCTTTCCGTATGGTCCTTTTGAGCTTTAACAAACTCGAAAGATAAAAAATCGGTATTTTTTCATTTGATACCAAAAGCTGGAAAGATGAGAAGATATATGCACAAAAACCCTTGAAAAAATCGAAAACATCGAATTTCAGAAAGCTTCAAATAAAGCTTTCTAGTCTTTCTACATAATAAATAGCCTTTAAAAGCATTTTTAAAGGTTGATAGACAGTACTGCTTACTAAACGATTTTTATCTAAAACAAGAATTTACATTTTTTACATTTGCACTCCCATACATTTATACTAGTGCAAATATATTCGCACTGCAACCAAAATTTGAGTTTGGCCTATTTAATTATTAGAAAAAGTTTCTTCAAAACATCTTTAAATAAGTGTATCTACACCCAAAAAATGTCCAAATTTTGGACCTTCAATAGCATACCTCAACACGGTTGAATCAACGTTTTGAGCAAAACCCAATTTCCCATTGTTTGAAGAACCATACCGAACCGAGTGGCCGAATTGTTTCATTTTCCAATCACCAACCAATGAACCGGATGTATAGATCTAATATCTACGTGGGCCTTCATCCCTAAGAAATCTGAGACACGTGTTTTGCAATGGGAATAATGGGTTTCACGCACATGTGCAACATAACTGTACCACATATGAGAAGTTGCCACATAAGCATAGATTGGTAGAATATCGATGGGAAGATACATGCATGGGATGGGAAAACGTTCCCCCATAAAAAATAAATAAAAAATAACGTAAAAGGTTAAAGAATGAAGCCAACCAATAACAAAGGAAAACTATAATGCTGAAATGCAACCAAAGTGGGGTGGAGTCAGAAAATGTTGGCCGGGAACTTGATCGGTTTTACTATAAGATCGATGTTTATACTATAAGATCGATGTAAGATGCGCTTTTCGAAGAGCAGATCCGGATTCTATGGTTGGGATCAATGGGTATCCACTATAATACACTTCCTTCTCTGTGGGACCACTTTGGACTTTTATGTTGTTTGTAGTGCAAATCTGAATCGGATGCAAATTTTGCATTCATTTATTTGTAATTATAATCTTTGTACTTTCCATCTCATTTGCATATACTTATTGACAGTTTAAATTTTACATTCTAAAGACTGATGCAAATTTTGCACCTTCTATCGAAGGTCTTATATCCATTCTCTCTTATATATAAAGTGGAGACAACGCCATCTTGCTTTCTACCTCGCTTATAAACAAAGAACCCTTTACCTACTTCTGTTCTGCATCAAATAGGTTGGGAACTGCATCATTTTGCTTCCTATTTTGCTTCTATCGAGTCTGAAGCTAAAGGTAAATTAGAATTTACACTCATTCAGTCATTCTATTTCCACTTTCATGCATTTACATCAACTTGGGGTTCATTCCTCTCTTCCCCCAACAACCCCAAAATGAAAAGATTAGTAAAACCAAGAAAATAGATCTAATCAAGTTTCTTAGACTCGATTTGAACCCGATTCCTAAATTGAATCATTTTGTTTGAGGGGGAGGAGTGGGGTGGTTTGGTCATGTAGGCTGTAGCTAACTAGCTACATCATAACTTGACAAAGATTGTAAATTGAGGGTGCCAATTAGCCTAGTTGGCAAGGTCACTAATCGGTAGTAGAAGAGATTTGGGATCAATTCTCACCTTAGGGCTATGAGACTTGGGATCAATTCTCACCTTAGGGCTATGGGTAGGGGTGCAACTTGGACAGATTTTGGTTAGGCTTTTCTCAAAATATATATGGACCCGATCCAACCGTTCGAGCCCAAAGTAGTGTAAAATACTAACTTTGTCCAATCCCAGTTGCACCTTTACCTATGCATATTCTAAATCAAGCATTAAACCCCATTTTGTATCGCTTTGGTATTTTATTGGTTAAGATTTTTTTTTGGCTATCAGTTAAGATTTAAGAACAGGAAAAGTTTTCTTTTTTTTTTTTTCATTTACTAAGGGCCCGTTTTGCAAGTCTGAAGATCTTTTCGTAGTTCTTACGATCAATAGACACATTGAGTTTTTGACATGAGATTTGAGCAGCTCGAAGACCGTTTGGCAGATGCACATATTTCTATGCGTCGTTTCGGGTCTTTCCGCACGAGATTAAAACATGAAAGACGCGGGAAACTTCATTTGGAGCTTCCCGAAATCGGCTCAGAATGGGTTTTCCGCGTCGTTTTGGCACCCCATCTTTTGGCGGCAAGATCTTCTGCGTGCTAAATGGGAATAAACCGATTTTCGATTTTCCTGACTTATAAACAACCGAATGAAAAGACACATCAAACGGGTTCTAAAACATTCCCGATAATTTTATGGATTTACTAAAATAACGTCTACAATTTTGATATGCTACTGCGGTTGTCGAGGTTTAAACTCAAATCACCCTGCGCGTGTGCGCATAACATGAACGTCCGTATGCCACTAAGGCATACTTTTGATTAGAAAATCAAATAAAACAATTCTTTATTCAATACTTATATGTAGTACTAACAAATAATATATATTTACGTTCAACAATTCCAAGTAAAGATTAAATAATATTATTCAAATTTAA